GGAGAATAAAGATGGAGAGAGGAGAGAAACATGTAGAGGGAAAGGCATTAAAAGAGAGGAGGAGGAACGAAAAGGCTTCAGCTCCACATGTTGGCCTCAACAAATCAACTCTTCTCCTGATGTGTCAGCGAGAGAACTTGTAAGCGACCTTCGAAGCACAAATTGCTGGAGAGAGAGAGAGAGAGAGAGAGAGAGAGAGAGAGAGAGAGAGAGAGAGAGAGAGAGAGAGAGAGAGAGGATTAAATCTGATGAGTTTTAGAAACTCTCACTGAGAAACTTTCCCATTCTCATTTCCTGCACGTCTTCTCTCAGTTTAAAGAGAGCACTGCAGAGATCTGGAGTAAACAAACAGAGATATTCCTCAGAAGGGTTATTGTAGATGTTCTGGAAGCAGATTCTACCTTTTGAAACGTTAACGAGCCTGAAGATAAGTCTTGTAAGCAAAACAAATAGTTTGTTATCTCAAGAAAATGTCTTTTAATCGGGCCGGAAAATTATATTTTTTGCAAGTTTTTTTCTGTCTTCTTTGGTTTTAGTGGTGCATTGCTTATAGATGAGAGTTACGGCCCGTCCACACGACAGCTTCGACAGCTTCAAAAACGGTTTCCAACGCGTCTGCCCATTCACTTTGAATGGGGTGACGTCACTTTTTGCCGAACTGCATTGTGGGAAGCAGAGCGGAGCTTTCCTGGCGTTTCCGCTGCAAAAGTTGAGCAATGTTCAACTTTTGAAGCTTCTGAAGCTTTCGGTGGAAGCGTCAGCCAATCAAATCATATGCCAGTACAAGCTCCAGCCAATCAAACCGCTGCTTGTGTGTCAGGGGCGGGAGATTCATGTGATTGGTTGTTGGTCGAGCTTCAGACACGCCCAGCTCCAAGCTTTTTTTGAAGCTGTAGTGTGGACGAGCCGTAACACCTACGTCACTTCCGGGGCAAAAAGTATGGCTCCGCCCACTTTTGGGGGAAAACAAAGCTGTCATTTGAACGGCGGTCAATACAAATTCTGAAGTTTTTGCCAATCCGATCAGAAATTTAAGAAAATCGTGGATTTGTGGATCTTCAAAGAGCCCGATCACGATGGCCAGACAGGCAAACAATTACATTCAATCATTGGAAGTGGACGATCAGGCTCGATATATGGCTAAATATAGCAGTAGGCGATCGATGTCCATAGATGAGAATAACATCCACGTCACTTTACGGCCCCGCCCACTTTTGGGGAAAACAACGCTGTCATTTGAACGGCGATCGAGCCTGAAGCCACAGAGCTCTTCTTTTACTGTCCTTTCTTCTCAGAGGAAGTTCAGAAACACTGAACTCTTGATTATTTGTAATGTTTGAGGAGCAATAAACAACACAGCAGCTTTTTGGCATGACAAAACTATTATTTTCCGCCTCGCTCATGAGACAGCTGGTGAAATTACGGCCTTGCTTACTGATTTTAATTTAATAATAATTAAATAATATTTGTAGGCGCCTTTCATGACACCCAAGGACACCGTACAATCTGTTACAAAACGAAAGAAACCGCTAATAGGCATCAAAACATGATAAAAACACAAACAGGAAATCATGGAGGAGACAGTCAAGTGGACACAAAGGAAACATATAATGGGGAGCACTACAGTGAGTAGGCAGATTTGAACAGGTTGGTTTTTAGTTGGGATTTGAATATGGTGATTGCGTCTGACTGTCGGATGTGCGGGGGGAGGGAGTTCCAGAGTCTGGGAGCAGTGCAGCTAAAAGCCCGAGCACCCATGGTGACGAGGCGTGGGGTGGGGACGGTTAGCAGACCAGCAGAGGAGGAGCGAGAGGGGGTATGTATATAACCATATCCATAACCATATATCGAGCCTGATCGTCCACTTCCAATGATTGAATGTAATTGTTTGCCTGTCTGGCCACCGGGCTCTGAAGATCCACAAATCCACGGTTTTCTTAAATTTCTGATCGGATCGGCAAAAACTTCAGAATTTGTATCGACCGCCGTTCAACTGACAGCGTTGTTTTCCCCCAAAAGTGGGCGGGACCGTAATTTTCGCCCGGAAGTGACGTTGGTGTTACTCTCATCTATTGTTACGCCATTATCAAGTTTAAAATATGCTCTCGCACTCTAACCCTTTCTTTAATTATCTTTTTCTTATTATTTATTAAAATGTGTTCTCGCTAATATGCTTTTTTTCTGGGTTCTTTTTGCAGAACTTATTCTAATTAGACTCTATGACAAGAAATGCTAAATGTTTATACATTCATTTATGTATTCATTACTGACTGAACTTGTAAGTTGATTAATTAGGTAAAGGAGAGAACAGTATTTGCCAGCAATTTTGATTATATTTTTGGTCATTTTTTATGCAAAAATGTGTTTATGTCTGCTTGCAGTTCCTGAAGTTTGAATATTTGCTGATACATTTTGTTATAAAGTTATATATGATAGTAAACTACATGTCCTTTCTATTTGACTGTTTGTGAGAGAAAACAAGCACAAAACCTCGGTTTAAAGAAACAGTCATGGGCATTTTTTTTTTATATTTTATCGACCAAATGATGAATCGATAATGAGAGAAAATAGGACTATGATGGTTAGTTTGGAGACAGTTGAGGCTTGTTGCTGTTTAGTTAGAATGTGTAACATGTAGGGAGGACTGTTATTAAAAGGAGTATTTCTACAGACGCTTACTGATCAGACTCTTTATCTTCTGTCTCTGTATATATCTCTCTCTTAAAATAGTTTTCTATCTGTGTTGTACCTTTATGTATGCACCACGACATCAAGTCAAATTCCTCGTACGTGTCAACCAGTGGCGAACCGTCAGAGAACACCCTGGAACACTCAGATCAAACAAACAAAAAATCGATTTAATTATATAAATCAAATGTAATAAATGAGAATGTTATCTGTGTTGTTGATCTGTAGTATTACAGTGTTACGTTGATTTGTTTGTCCTTCTCGGACCATGCTACGCATTTCAGTGGTTTTGTGTTAGAAAAGAAAGCAACCAATCAGATCTTGTTCTGGGTCTCTGGGTAGAATATCCTTCAACCAAGGTATTCTACATCCTTGATCGAATGCCCTGGCCGTTGCACTGAATGAGAGTGTATGTTTGGACTGACAGTTTGATCAACCAATCATATATTGATTTGTAGCCAATGGGCGTATTCTTTCAGAGTTCCCCTCGGTTCCAGGGTATTCTAGAAGGCCCGCTAGTTAACTGGCTCGAGACAGAGGATCTAGATCAGGGGTTCTCAAAGTTTTGATGAGTGAGGGCCAATTTAGGTACCCAATATTGGATTGAGGGCCGCCCAAGAAAAAACGGAACACAAAATAATTCCAAAACAAATCCTTTCTTTATTGTACTAACCAATTACCGCAACTCGCGAGATGCCTAGTTGCCATGCAACCAGTGTGACGAAGCAATTCATGCCGTTTTATTGTTTTTAACGTTGAAATGGCAACAGGTGAAGATGATGTTGTTGCGGAATTGTTGTCAGTACCCTTTTAATTCAGTGAAAAGATGGATATTATAGGGGGGGGGGGGGGGTGTCTACAGAAGGTCCAGTTGTGATAAACCTGATTGTGTCTGTGTTTCAGGCCGGCCTCGGTGGAGAGGAAGCCTCCGGAGCTCAGCACTCTGAACGACGGATACCAGATCCGCATCTGACCCGTCCAACATCCGTCCACTGGCGAGTCATTTTCCACCATCAATGTTTCTGAGAGCACACACACACACACACACACACACACACACACACACACACACACACACACACACACACACACACACACACACACACACACACACACACACACACACACACACACACACACACACACACACACACACAACACACACACACACACACACACACACACACACAAAACAGGAAGAACTTCTAAAAGCTGAGACTCAGAGAAAAGAGAGTGACTGGAAGGAATCCTTCATCATCGTCATCATCATCACACACCTGAAATTGCACATTTCAATCCGAGGATAAAACGCTACCCTCTATCACAAGATCCGAAGAAGTGATACCAGCGTATTTCTAGATTTACAACATTTCAATCAACTGGCAAAGGAATTAAAGGAAGGGACAACAAAGTATTTCCGTGACCTCCTCAGTGTCTTAAAGAAGGGCTTCAACACAAAGTGAGGAGGAAGGAAGGTAAGATAGATATCCAAATGTTTGTATGAAGTTGTTTAGAGGGACAGGAAGCCATGGTTGGAATTTGACGACAAAAATATGTTCTTTTTTTAACAGAACGTGGAAAAAAACATTATTTAATTAGTGGTTTTGGCCAGTTATCGTGTCAAATGATTAGTTATCATGCTACTTTTAAAGCACAATTTCCCTACAGAGAGTTTTGGAACAGGTTATTTTTGTTGTTGTCAGTTTTCCAACATGGCCGTCCTTCAGCCTGCAGGGAGACAGGCGTCTGTAGGAAGCAGGTTCACAGCTCAACGTGTCTCACTGTATTCTCACACACTCGCTCAGTTACAGAAGCAGAAAGGGCTCAGTGAAGGTCCTGAAGTAACGTTTTAGTTACACTTTGACTTGTCCAATTAAACAAGACGAGTAATTACACTTCCAGACCGTATTGATCACATTAGACGAGTGTGGAATAAAGAGAGGACGAGTGATGGAGGAAATCAAAGGGGTGAGAGAGAGAGAGAGGATTCACAGCAGGAGATCAGATCATTAGAGCACTGCAGCAAACCTCCTGCACCCCCTCCTCTTCCTCCTCTTCGTATTCTCCTCTTCCTCTGCCCTCTGTTGACAGCTATCTGAATACATAAACACTGCTTTCCAGGAAACTCTGTGAACAGAAACATGGAAAGAGTCCATCTCAGTACAGAGGAGGAGTAAAGGCAACGACTTCGTTTCTTCATCTAGATTTTAAACAGCAGGTTTTTTAATTACTGACCTTCTAATTGGGACCTGGAGACACTTGAGCGCTTACTTTACTTTTTAAGTGATATCAATAAAATCAGTTAAACTAAATTCTGCTTTTTTTTTGGTGTAAATTGGATATCTCTTTAGACCTCTCCAACCCACTCCAATGTCCACACTGAACCTACAACCTTTGGTTGCAAGTGAGAACAATGGGGAACCTCTGATGAGTGAAACCAGTGGTTATGAGAGGCCTGAAGAAGTGAACGTATCCACTATGACACAAGAAGAAGGAGACATCAGGACATTTATGGCGCATTTCCACTGCTGCACGGTTTAAGTGTGCCGAGCCGTGCGGGGCCCGTTTTTGGTTGCGTTTCCACTAGGGCTAGTTCCGGCTAGCGGGTACTATTTCACAGTTATTCTGGCCCCATAAAATCGAGGTTCTTTCCGGGCCAACAACCAGGCTGAGTCGGGCTGAGTATGCTAAACTAGAGAGAGAATCGCTGGCAAGGGGGCTACAACTACAACAAGATGAACATATTTGACCGTGATTTAATTGTAATACACGTTTCTAAATGATGCCGAAGTAACAACATACTGATACCGGTTAGTAAAAACCATGAATTAATGCTTTGACAAGTCTGCAGACAGACGGCAGGCGAGAAAACCTTTTAAAATGCATGTTTTCTGAATGGAGCTTGGCTAAGCTAACGTTATATATGCTCCGACCGTCCACACTCACAACAACGGCCTACAGACAGAAATAAAGCAGCGACTGTATTCTCCATGACACAGGCAGTCTGTGGTTTGTACTTGTTTAACTTCTGTCTAGTTTCTGAACAGATATGAGGAGCTGTGAGCTCTGAGTGCTAAGAGCTAACGGCTGATGTTGGTTTTGTGGTTCGTATTGAAGATGACGTCACGGCTCCGCCTACACTGCGTTACTATAGTTACTGCCCCAGCTACTAAACTGTAATGGAAACGCAGCATAAAGTGAGCCTGGCCTATCAAGGCCTAACTATACCGTACTAAGCCGTGCGAGGTCCTGCAGTGGAAAAGCGCCATTAGTGTTACAGTTCTTCATCTTTTCTCATCTCTTTAAGCCCCCTCTTTTTTTTAAAAAGTACTAGTACAACAATAAACACATGACCTAAGATTCAAACATGAATGAAACAGCAACAACCACAACACAGTTATTTAAATATAGACAGAAATGAGTAGGACAGGTTTAGCGTCTCACTAATGGACCTTAAGAAGTTTATACTGTATTATTTAGCAAAAATCAATCACTAGCATCTCCGAAGGCTAGAGGAGCTTCATATGTGATGACTAAACTCACCACGTGATCTCAGTTAACACACAGCTGGAAAGCTAAATCATCCAGCTGTTCGTCCACTCAGACAAAGGACGAGGAGGCAGATTGTGAACGCTCTGAAAAAGACTTTGTGATATCAGAGTGGATGTTAGGTCAGCACCCTTTAATAGCTCCAGGATGATATTATCTGGTCACGAGTTGAAGAAACCAGACAATATATTAGAGTTTTGTCTCGTTTAAAACTCAACGATGGATGCTTTTGTGGTTGGACAGAAATGTAAAACGTCAAAGCGTTTGGTCACGCAGGTTTTCAATCAGTACCCGTGTTTTAAGATCTTCGAAGGAACGAATAAGAGTGAGGAAACCGTGAGAGTTCCCAGTAAATAGTTTGATGAGTCGTCTTTTCCAAGTGACCTGTTTGTACTGAATGCACTGCGTCACACTTGACGTTTCATGAGGATTGTCCAAAAAGATCTAATCAAGTTTCATTTCGATTGTTTTTTTTTTGTACTCTCTTGACGAGGCCTTCGATGAATCTCAGCTGAAACGCTTGAAATCAAAGAAGCTTGAATTCTCCGGTCACATGTCCAGTTTGAAACTCATAGTTGGTATTTTAAACCATTCTGATTCAAACTCTTGAAAAGATGGTTGGATATATCCAAGCCACGAAGCCAGACGAAACAGTATTGAGTTATTTCACAGAAACAGACATTCTACACATACTGTTCTTGGACATATACATATATCTACGTTTATTAATGTCTGTTACATCCTCAGAATGTACTGTACAGGTTTAAGCCTTCAGACGAACAACTACACAAGTCAGTTGAATACAAAATAAAACATATGTTTATGTACAAACAGCCCACCAGCATTATTCACATGTTTAAGGGGTTTGATGTTAAATCCATGAAATCTACTGACGTCTGTAGTTCGTATCTGAAGGGTTAAATCTAGGGAGAATGGTGTTTCCCAAAATGAAGATTATCTTTGTTCAATAAGGCTGCACGGGACCATGACAGGGCCACCACAGTAATGTGCCAAAACATACGAGCAGAACTGCTATCAAGCGAACCTGGATGTAAGTGAATAATTGAATACGTTACGTGATGATTGGTGAACGCTCGCAGCCACGTTGTGATTTAAACAAAGTGTATGTGTGACCTGGCTTTAACGTCATATCAACTGGAGCAAAGATAATCCAACATATCTGTGAAGTGTTGGGATAAAAACATGTCACTCGAGATCAGGAGGATGCGTGTACGGACTGTTTCTGAATATCGTCATTTGATGGTTTTATAGCTTTTCTTTGATTGTTTCGCGTTGCTTGTCGCTCTCAGAACACGTGTGTGTGTTTTGTTGCCAACTGAACATCCGAGCTTTTGGTTTCCACAACGAGCTATGCACACAAAGAAATCTGTGTCTTCCACAATTCAAACCCTGGAGGAGGAAGGTGTTTGTGGCTCCATCTACTCAACAACATATCTCGTTTTAAAACGTCTGTACAGAAAGAAACCGTGGACTCATACGTCTTCTCGATGCCAGGGGGGTCAAACTCAAGGCCCGGGGGCCAAATCCGGCCCGCCACTTCATTTGATGTGGTCCACAAGAGCTTGCAAATAATATAATACGTTTATTCTAAGGTCACGTGCCGCTTTACAGGAGCACGTTGCCCATAAACTACATGTCCCACAATGCATCTCATTTTTGTGAGATGCGCACTGCAATTACTTACTCGACTTCTGCTTTCAGGCGTAGTTAATTATTAAGTTATTACCCTATCCGATAATAATCCAATGCAGAGGAAATATTGTAAAATACTACATTATTTTATATATATATTATTTATATTTATCTTTGTATATTTATATAGTCTTAAAGTTACCACCGGCCCTTTGAGTGCAACCATAATTCTAATGTGGCCCGCGATGAAATTGAGTTTGACCCCCCCTGCTCTACGCCAACAACGGTTAGCTTTTAGCATTCGCTCTCGGGGCAGAGAGGGGAAGCAGAACACATACGATGATAGAGATCTGACTCAAAGCAACCAGCGTTAACATTTCTATTAAAACGTTGTCGGTGTTTGTTAGCTTTCACAAGGAGCACAAAGCAGCTTTTGAAGTATTTCAATTCCTATTCGACACCGGTGTGTATCGCAGACGAGGATGCAACAAACATGGAGTAAAGAAGACTGATGTTCATCGTTGGAGATATATTCATGGAGATTCAACTGTTACCACGGACCCTAACTTCATAATGTGTGTCAACGTGATCGTGGACACTTTGGATTTAAAGACTTGAGACGATGCAGTTCTGGGGATTTTATGACTCTCCAGCAAAGACACGAAAACAGGACCTGAAACAAATAAAGTCCAACGTAGCGACAGACACTTCTGTGCGTGATCATTTATATGATTGAAGGTTTTCTTTCTTTGTTTCGGTTTGAAATGTGATTCAGTTTGAGGTTTTGACTTCTCAAATCTGTTGTCGAGACATTTGGGTTTGAATCATTGATTGTACTTTGAATCACTTTGAATGAGAAGCGTCTGTTTAAAGGAACAGACACACCTTGTAGGAGCGGGTGTGAGTTTGTATGGCCTTTGACTTGTTTCCAAAGTGCTGATATCTCGTTTCTCAACTCCACCTCGGTCCTGAACTACTGTACTGTTGAATGTGCTGCAGTCTGTTGGAAATGTGTCCACGCTGGACTCAAATCTCGCAAAGATCTTGAAGCTCTGTCGGCCCAATTAGTATTTCTCTATCCTATACAAACTGTACACACTAGCTGACAACAAGGATGCTAATACATTTAAAGGTCCCGCATTATTCTGTTCTTCATCTATATATCACAGGTCTCAGATATATACAGAGCCTGTCTCTGATTGGCTGAAACACCAAACAGATCATGGCAGCATTACCCATAATCCCCTCTGTTTCAGCCCTGTTTCCAAAGTGCTGATTCTCTGTCTGTTACTTTAGATGAAAATAATGAGCCGCTCCCCACGCCCCTCTGAGAGACATTTGGTTACAAAGAACTCAATGGAGCTCTAGGAGGAGATTCAGGTGATAAGGGGGGGGGGAGGTTACCTTGGTTGCTGATTGGCTAATGGTTACACAAGACAACACATCGTTATGACATCATAAAGTGGCCAAAATCTGATCAGCTCGTTTTCCATCCATCCATCTTCTCCCGCTTATCCGTGGTCGGGTCGCGGGGGTAGCAGTTCCAGCAGAGAGCCCCAAACTTTCTTTTCCCTGGCGACATCAACCAGCTCTGACTGGGGGATCCCAAGGCGCTCCCAGGCCAGCGAAGAGATATAATCCCTCCACCTGGTCCTAGGTCTACCCCTTGGTCTCTTCCCAGCTGGACGTGCCTGGAACACCTCCCTAGGGAGGCGCCCAGGTGGCATCCTAACTAGGTGCCCGAACCACCTCAACTGGCTCCTTTCGACGCGAAGGAGGAGCGGCTCAACTCCGAGTCCCTCCCTGATGACCGAACTTCTCACCTTATCCCTGAGGGAGACACCAGCCACCCTGCGGAGAAAACCCATCTCGGCCGCTTGTATCCAGCTCGTTTTCCGTGTTATAGAAATGGATCAGGACAAAAAGAGAGAGAATCTTTGTTCCCAAAGCTCCGTGTTGCATAATGATAAACATCGCAAACCAAACTCAGAGCGACTTATCTGAACATTGTTTAAAATAATTATACTCAGCAGACGTTGAAACCTCTTCCAGTGCCTCAGCCGTAAGCGTGCGATCACATCGGAATATCTTTATTTCAGTTTTAACTTTG